TGATTGCTCTTGTAGTGGGAGCAATAAACGGTAGCGTTCGCTGGCAAGAGATCAGACAGGTTTTGTGCTGAGCTGGGGTGCACGCTAATGTCTCGGTGCAGAGATCTATAAAGCTGCATTGGGATGCACAGTGTCTCTGGCATAAGCTGCCTATTTCCTATTCAGTCTAAGATTGCTGTTTAATGGTTCAACTTCAATTTTTTTTCTTGCTGCTCAGCTGATACTTTACCCTAAAAAAATGTTTTGCCAGCATTATAGGAAATTTGCTCAATGCAGCAGGGCAAGTCTGTACCAGAAGGAGGAGGCTGAGAATACCCTGTTGATCATTCAGCCTATCTCCTTGCCAAGTAAGATGTGTTTTTTCCTGTTTTACATTTTGGGGCCTGATTTAGCTGAGACAAAAGGTTGGGAGAGTGTCGTGGTTTAACCTCAGTCGGCAACCAAGCACGACACGGCCGCTCGCGCCCCCTCCCATGGGATGGGGGAGAGAATTGGAAGGGCAAGCACAGCACTATGCTGGCTACTAGGAGGAAAATTATCCCAGCTGGAACCAGGGCAGAGAGCTTCCACTTCTCTTTTGGAGGTGGCTATCCTGCTACTCATTTTAAAACAAACAGGATCATCAGTTTCGTTTATGATCTGTGTAAGGGATGGAGAGAGAGAGTGCTCAGCTTTGCTTCCCAATTCATGCTAAAAGCAAGGTTGGTACTGCAGAATGTGCCTAATACTTATTGAGCTCTAGTATTTACTTGTGAGGTAGCTTGAGTCCTTCATGAAACACCTGTGACTGAGACAAAATGCTTTGATTAGATGAATGCTTTTGTATAGATACATCGACTATGAATTCCCACTTCCCAAGCCAGTGGGAGTTTCTGTTATAGTGTTACAGAATCCATGTGGGAGACTCCTTTCAAATGCCATGATAAGAAAGATGTAAGTAATTTTTTCTTAATGATAGTTCTAGTATACCTCTGCAACACAAATCCCACCCTCCCCAAATGTATTCTTTATATCCTTTGGTATATCCTTCTCTGCACTTTTAAAATGGTGAATACTCGCAGACATCTGTCGCCCTTCCCACTCAAATACTTAGCCAGGTGAAAATGCAATAATCTTCATCTTCTGTGCAATTCAATCTTTTCAGCTCCGTATTACAGCTAATTAATTTTTTTCTTGTGTTGAATCTGAATACTGTCATTTCACTTTATTTTCCCACAGCCTACAGTTAATGAAACTGAATAGGTTTCCACTGGAACCTGACTTTTGTAATAAGTAGAAGTCATATAAATCAGGCTCTGCAAGGGGGCATCAGCAGGACCCTGTGGGCAATTAAACTCTCTTTCTGTTTTAGCTGCCAAGCCACAAGTCCTCTTACCTGTATTACTACTTCCCTACCTTTATTGCCCCCCGCACTCCCCAGTGTCATATAGGGTGGCTGCCAGGTAACATCCTCAATGGTAGTATTAAGGATTGAAGGTGGGGGGTTTTCCTGCATGTTACGTGGTGAATTGGGAATGGTAGATGCCAATCTTCTGTACCTCCTCTGTAGAACTCAGCCTCCTATAAGTCAGGCAGGTTTTTGATCACTTTTTCTTATACAATCAGACATTGGAATTAACAGTCCAAAGGATTTTCTTTCTTTTCATTTGGACCATGTTTCTATTTATCATCCCTCCTTTTACCACTAATATGTTCGCTTTTGACTTTTTTTTTTTCTTCCCAAGAAGACAGATGCAGAAGGGGTGCTGGCTTGCTTTTATTACTTCAAAACCTGATGACAGCAATTCTGTGTTTAGCAACCTCCCTGATGAGCATATACTTGCATCCTCAGATGCCTTTGAAGACTTCTGCTGGGGGTAGTTAACCACACTGGGGCATTTCAGAAGGCAGGTTCTCTGAAAAAGTTGCTAGCTTCCACTAAAGTAACATGCTAATTATTAGTGTGCTGATGATTATTTTCTGCCCTGTGAGGTTGTAGACTTGCATTAGCTAACTGAAATGTCTTTTCCTCCATGTGCCTGCTTGTTTCAAAAGATCATGGACCACATCCCTCTTTAATCCTGCAGGGAGGTCAGTACCATGTAAATATTACCAGT